CTGGTATGTATATTTTGGTGGTTTGTCAGTTGTAGTAGTTATGACGGCCTTGTTGGCCCAACTCTATATTGATGTTTAGTCAGCGTTAGTTTCCATTCAGTTTTATATTTTGCTTCACAAATTGTCTAGCAAGGTGGCTCCATGGCCAAATTATGACATTATATGTTCAGAGTCCCTTAGTCGCAATTTGGTACGCTAGTTTAGGTGAGGCATCGGGTGCCGGTCTCGCTCCCAAGTTCGGGGCGTGACACCGAGGGTCCTGACCAAGGCGTTGACTTCCTGAAACTACTTGTGCCAAAGTAGGGAGCACACGAGCCGAGGGTCTCGTTGCTGAGAATTTACTTAGCCATGCTAAGGTATGATACATGAGGGCTGAGAACCATGAAGCGAGTGGCACCCGTGGATTGGGCCTATTCGATCAGGTTGGGGTCGAACCCGTGCCGATCACACGGTGACTAAGACAGAAATAAGTCAGGATAGTTGGAACTCCCAAAGTATGAAGTGAAGTATTTCTTTCTTTGGGAAGTGAAGTATTTCTTTTAAGAAAGAAAAAGAAAAAAATTTCTTTTAGAATATTCATAAATTGCTATTATGCAATTATTTTAGAATTGTTCTTATAAACTTTATATTTTACATGCATTTAGAATCTTTGCTCGTAATGTATGTGTTATTAAAGTTTCGTCCCCTGTCGTTGAGACTCATTGAGTACAATAGATGGTACTGACGTTCTCTTTTGGGAACTTATGTTGGTTTGCGATACAACGTAGGAACCGGTTTTACAGGCGAGTAGACTACGGGTTAGGACTTCCCTCACTTCCAGTGCTATTGGTGAGCTCCGCTTTTGTTCGTGGAGTACTCCTTTGAATCGTCATTATTTGGCTATTTCTTTGTTTACTTAGAGAACTGGCCAGAAAATCTCATGTCCTGAGCAGTGCTTCAGTTTATCAGTAGAGGCTTTATAAACATAGTCGTTGGGTTAAGATTCAGATGTTTTTAATAATAACTTAACAGTATTTCAGTGATTACTACAAATAAAATTTTGGAATTGGTCTATTTTAGATATTTAAATTAATTAAAAGTATTTGGTTAAAGTATTGCCTGGTTGAATATAAAGTTTGAAGTTATAATAGATTTGATAGGCGCAGATGGTTCGCTCGGTCACGTTTAGTGACCGAGTGCCGGTCTCGACTTGTTCAGAAAATGGGTCGTGACAACATAATACATGGAATATGATTTACGTAACTGCTGAAAAAATGTGCAACAACAACAACAACCCAGTATAATCCCATTAGTGGGCCTGAGGAGGGTAGTGTGTACGCATACCTTCCCCTACCCTTGTTTCCGATAGACCCTCGGCTCCCTCCCTTCAAGAACTCCCCACCTTGCTGAAAAAATGTGCAATGTCGCAAGTTCACAGTCATCCAGCCTAATTGCACTTTGAGAAGGAAATCAACGAAATCAATCACAATGGTTTCTAGCATTAAAACTTCCTCAATCCATAAGAAAGTGATATTACAAAAATTGTGATTATTTTGAGAAAAAAAGTTTTTCCCAGGGGCACCTTTTCCAAGAACTAACATGTGGTAACACCTGGAGTATCGTAAATTCTAAAAACAGACAAACAATCAAAATTTGCTAGTTACTCCAAGAGCTACAGAAGAAATCATCCAACATCTAGAATGTTTAGAGAAGAAAAGCGGCATCCCATTTTTAAGAGGATAATACCCATTTCTGCATTCTCGTAGAGACAAAACTTTATGATTCCAGATCTCCTCAAGTACCTTAAAAATCTAAAAGTAACTGAGGAAGTATCCTTTCTAGATGAGTTGCTTCAATTTTGATACTGCCCTCCGCTTCAGCAATAGTAGCAGCACGTTGTATAGCTTCTATATCAAAGAATCAAGTCGCAAGATAAAAAGAATGCACATGAAAGTCTAGCCAAGTAAATAACATAATTTTGCTTCATTAATGGTCCAACCTGCTACGAAGACTCGGAGAAGTTCAGAGCTCAGCTTCAGTGCATTTGCATTAGCTTTTAACATCAAGACAGAAGAACAACATGAGAAGAAAAAATCATTGTCCAAAGAACATGTTCCACTTTTAAGCTAATATATAACAAAGCAAAGGTCCAGCACACATGAGGAAATGCAAATACCAGCATAAGAAACAGTTACTGAAGGTGGACTAAATGCAGTTCTTGTTAAAGGTTAGACATGCCATTGTTATCAAGGAGGTAATATGCAGAAAAGCTTGCTTGCCACAAGGCCCACAACCCACTTAATCTTCTAATACATCTCTATTACGAGGAATGAAAAATGGCTAAATAAAGTTACAAAACAGAAATCGAACTACTTCATTGCCTTCCCTTTTCCTTAGAGTTATGCTATCTCATATATCATGAAGAGGCCAATCCTGGTAAAATAAAATAGAGAAACAGAGAGAGGTATATTATTTTACTTTTATGAGTGACATTTAAACTTGTGAATCTTCCTGTAGTGAAAATGTCATAACAAAGCACCAAAACCCTATATTTCTCATTGTCTTATCCCTTTTCTAGCAGATAAATAACAACAACAACAACAACAATAACAACCCAGTATAATCCCGCTAGTGGGTCTGGGGAGGGTAGATGTACGCAGACCTTACCCCCTACCCTAGGGTAGAGACGCTGTTTCCGATAATCCCTCGGCTCCCTCCATCCAAGAACTCCCCACCTTGCTCTTGGGGTGAGTCGAACTCCCCACCTTGCTCTTGGTTGGAAGTGGAGGGTGCTTACCACTAGAGCAACCCACTCTTGTCAATGGGCATCTATAATTCTACCATGGCTACATTGAAAGAGATGTTCCTAAATAAACTAAATTTTTTTTTTTCTCTTTCTAATTGGTTTATTTCCGAAATATTCAGAAAGGTCGTGCCTTAATCGACACGACATTTTATAAAAAGAAAAACCATCTCAAAGTATGTATCAGCAGCTAGTTCATCAAGTAACATGCATATACACATATCAAAACAAATAAACTTAAGCAATTTCGCTCACAAAATCTAAAACTTAGCAGAGTATATTTGACCATTGAATCAATATCCAAATTCAAAACCACGATTCCATAAGTCATCAGAAAGACATGCTAATTTTCAACATAGTTGAGCTGAAAACAAATTTCAGCTATTTATTGGGCCAGTTCTTACCAAATGTAGGCCGAGGTCTCTTTGATGAGCTAGCCCCAACCTACAGGCATATTTACACAATGCTTTCAAGCTCAACAGCATACACTTAAACCATATACATAATACTTCCAACAAAATCCCAAAACATTGAAGGTACTTAAAGCCAGATCTTTTACTCTAATTTCACCAGATAAAAACTAAAAATGATAAAGATTTCGGGAAACAACAAAGGAATAAAGTGAAAAGGAAAGGGCTAACGGTTTATATATACCTCGTTGTCCATATTCTCAGATATTTCATTTTTCCCACGCTCTGCAACAATTATTAATGAGATAGCCGAAGATACAAACAATAAAGGTCAATTGCAGAAAGACGAAAAGGTGAAATTAAACCTGCAGCTCTTCTTTTCCAAGCAAGCTTGAAAATTTCGTGGACCAAATCCTGTTTAAAGCCAAACAAAGCCGTTCTAATTTTTCAGATTGAATAATTTCGTTAGGGAAAAAAAATAATGTTTGATGTTGGTATTACATGATTCAAATCGAAAGTGAAAAATTGAGAAGAGAGAAGAAGGAATGATTACGGGATCGAATGGGTTCTCCTTCTCCATTGGATGCTCGCTCATTCAAATGAACAATGAACCCGCAACACTACTGAAAAGGAAAAGAGAGAGAAAAAGAATCTGTAATTATGTTAGATATATTAAAGAAAAGTGCAAATAGCAAGAAGCCCCTATAGCTCAGTGGTAGAGCGTCAGTCTTGTAAACTGAAGGTCCGTAGTTCGATCCTGCGTGGGGGCAATTCTATTTTATGTGGATCCATAGATATTACATTCCTATTGCCTTTTATTTAAGTACTAGTGAGGTGTTGCCCATTATTTTTTCTCCTACTTCATCAGTTCTATAGGAGCCTAAATTGTCCAAGGAAAATGCCATGCTCCTTCGACTCGTTTGGTATAAATCAATCGAGAAAGTGAGATAAAAATAGGATTTATTCTTAGAGATGTTTCTTCCGTTGCAAGAACGAGAAACCTAGATAGGCAATATTTGTGGAGTACAATAAATATTTTCAACCAAGTACAATAATGTTATGTACCAGTTGATATATGTGATAATTTAAAGAAGGATTGGAAATATACTCTTCTTTTGCTGAGCGTTCCAATAACTTTTTGTAGTTTTGTTCGTAAATATGCTACACTACAAAAAAATGCTCTTACATCACATACCTAACTTTATTAATTCTTTGTCCTTGCCAATCTGATAGTAAGCATGTGATATTTTGTGGCATCACCCAGTCAACAGCAAAAAGTTTAAATGGTTGATGGATTCTTTGTCAGTTTTTACGCATATAACTAAGAGTCCTCTTCTCTGACAATTATCTTGGCTAAGACATGCTGCCTCGACAACATTCCACACAAAGCAGGGCATTTTGGCGTGTTGTTTCTGTCCTCCATGCCATCTTATAAGGCCACTTGTTGTCCCAGTTACTATCGAGCTTTTGGAGAAGATTGTAGCAACTTTTAAAGGGGCGGATCTACCTTATGAGGTAGGGGTAACACGACACCCGCTCGCTTTGCTAAAATTCTTACTATGTACATAATATCTCTGTAAAAAAACGTATAAATGGATAGAGTGGCACCCGAAAGTCACAAAGTGGAAGAAGGTGTCATTGGTTCAGCCTTCCCTTTGAAGCCTTTCCTTGGCCTCATGAATGCAAGTTCGATTCTATGTTGGAGCAGCTCCTTTTATTTTTTATTTTTTCTACTTATTAAGATTTCCTTTATTTTCAGTTGAGCCCTAGAGCCTTACCTCTTTTTCTTCTTTTTTGATTTTTTCCCTCCTTTTATTACTTGTTAAGTCTCTCTTCTTCATTTTTTTAAACTTTCAGTCCTCATTTTGTTTCTATTATTATACCTTACTTTATAAACAATTATTTTCTATAGGTAATTTGAATTGATTTTAATTAACATATAATTTATTTATTTTAATGAAACGATATTAATTTATATATTGGAATATAATTTGAGCAATATCTTCTATTGGGTTTTGAAAAAAAATTAAATGGCTTGATTGATAATCGTTTTGAGTCGAATATTATAGGTTGAATGTTGAAGGTTTTTCTTTGAAAATAATTGTCATATAACTCAATAATTAAGAAGGAAAAATAAACAAAGAACAATACAAGTAAATTAATCTAGTCAAACAAAGAATATATAGTGTAGTTAAGGTACTCTTTAAGCAAATATTTATATTGGAGGCGCTCTTTCATGAAATATTATTTTTCTTTTGCATTTTTATTTAGAATGTGTTTAAATTAAGCGTTAAAAATTTGAACTAAAATTGAACTTATTTGCTTTGTGAATGAAAGATCTATTCAAATTAACCAAAAACTAACTGAACCGACCCATTATTCCTAATCCGTCTTTGTAGCTACTGACATGTATACTGTATGCATAACATGGTGGCACCCGCAGCCTTCGAATCCTGGATCCGCCTCTGCTTTTAATAGAGAAGAAGCCACTATTGCTAGTAAGCCCAGTTTGAGAGTCCATCCTTCTGTCATTAAAGAGAGATTGGCTGCAAAAGTATGAAAGGTGACTGATATCTTGGATTTGCATATCATTAAAGTTTTTCTTAAACTATAGATGTCATTTAGAGTTGACAAAATATTCACCAAATATAAGCATTTTTGTTCAGGGTTAAACTACAAAGAGTAGGGAACTCATCCTTCAATATCCATGTTTCAATACAACTATCTGTCCAAAATTTTGTCTTCCTTTTCATCCCCATCTTCAACATGATACTGCTGTATCAGGTTGTTTACCTGCACTGCTAAAACACAAAATTGTAGGAAGCATGTAAATTTTACATAGCACATCCTTCCATATATTTAACAGAAGGTGTACATAAAAGAACGTATAATTTGTCATCAATCAGAAGTAAAGATTATGCACTAACCATTCATAGAAGGTGATATAATTGATGTACTTGATGCAAAATTCTAAGTAAGGACTTCAAATTATCACGGCAAAAAGGCAGGACTCTGATCTTGTATTCCTGCAAGGTTGAGAAAGTAAGACTTTTCTTAGCCAAGTTCCCAAAATAGTGAAAGAGATGAATAGAGAGAATGGAGGTATGATTCTTTATTCTCGAGAAAATGTAGGTACAATACCAATCACGGTAACAATTAATGCACATTGAATGGCAGCAATTCGGTAAGACCATTTTGTTACAAGGCTCTAAGCATATTTCACATTCATTTTCTCTCAGCTTCGAAGTTGGCAAATTTAGAGTCTCCTTTCATTTTCTTCTGAGAAATTTCAAAGCCATAATTTACAACTTTACTATTGCCCATCTCTATAAGTTAGAATGTAGCTGGTGTAATGATGGAGGTATAACACCTGCAATTTTGTCATTATCAAGGGAAAAGGTTCAAGCACAATTAAGGTAAGGAATCTGTTCGTAAAATGAGTATGTAAGAAACTAAGTGGATAATAGGAGAATGAGTAACGAACCATAAAAGCCGCTAATAGTTGCTTTGCTTTCGTGTCAGAATATCTTTGGTTGGTCTCTCATCTGTGTCGTGACCCCAAATTCCCTCTGTAGTAGGTCGTGATGGCACCTAGTCTCTAAGACTAGGTAAGCCTGTCAATGCATAATAATAATAATAATAATAATAATAATAGATATCTGAAATAAATAAACTACAATTCAAACAATTACAACTCCCAAAATCCGGTAGAAATAAGTCACAAACTTCTAAGAATTTATTCTCTATGTCTCTATACATCAGAGTCTAAAGCAAATAAGGAAGATAACACAGTAAGATAGAAGGGGACTCTGGAGTCTGCGGACGCTGGCAGATATACCTCAAAGTCTCTGTGCACAGGTAACTCACTGATGTTTGGGCTGGTAAGATGTACCTGGATCTGCACAAAAAGATATGCAGAAGCGTAGTATGAGTACACCACGGCGGTACCCAGTAAGTGCCAAGCCTAACCTCAGTAGAGTAGTGACGAGGTCAAGTCAGGCCCTACTGAAAAATAAATAATAACATGAAAAATGTTTAACAATATAATAAGATAAAATGACAATGAAAATGAATCAAATAGTATATCACCATTTAATTACACTAAATAATGGCGATTAATACCTCGTGGGAACAAAACATAATTCTTTTCAACTTCAAGAAAATCACAACAATAATCAAACTGCGGCCATAAATCAATATCAACAAGGGCACTCCCGAGGTATCGTCTCGTAGTCTCAAATCATAAATAAATTCACAATATTTCATTTCCTTATCTTACCGCGGGAACCTTCACAATTTATTTTAAAGAAAATATTTTTTCTGAAATAGCATCCTGCATTTTAGCCATCCTTATCACACCACATGACTTCTCGTAGTTTCCTCTACTAGCCACGCGTATCAAGCCATCTTTATCTCACCGCATGCGTTTCTATACCCAGACCTTATACCACCGCATGCGTATCAATCACAATATATCACAATTTGTACCTCAAGTGCCCAAATATTTCAATTTCCAAAATAAATCAACAATATTTTTCCATAATAAACAGCCCACGGCTCATGCCAAAATAATCTAATAATGATATTTTTTCATAATAAAAAGCTCACGGCTCATGCCAAAATAATCTAATAATGATATTTTTTCATAATAAAAAGCTCACGGCTCATGCCAAAATAATCCAACAATGATATTTTCCACAATAAAGTGCTCACGGCTCATGCCAAAATAATTCAACAATAATATTTTTCCATAATAAAGAGCTCACGGCTCATGCCAAAATAATTCAACAATAATATTTTTCCATAATAAAGAGCTCACGGCTCATGCCAAAATAATCTAATGAGTACGAAATCTCACAAAATATTCGGAAATAAATAACTCAATAAAATAGTATTTCAAAATTTTAGTACGTTGCTTCAATACCAAATTTAAAATGTCAAATAATTCATATTAATAATATTTAATTTAAAGAAAATCAACCTTAAAAAATACACAGAATAAAAGAAACTAAGTTTCAACTAAAAATGTAAAATAATTAGCAGGAAAAGGTCAAACAATTTAAAATATAAACATTTAAATCAATGATGAAGAATATAACAAGGTAAAATTATTTAATTAATATACAACAACGATCTACACAATTTAAAGACATAATCTTTCATATTTAGCCCGTGTACACGACTTTCAATATATTTTAATTTATCACTTCAATATCAATCCTAGGGGAAATGTCCCCCACACAAGGTTAGACAAGTCACTTACCTCGACTTGCTCCAATTTAACCAAGTAGTATGCCTTTTCCTCGATTTTCCGACTCCGATCAACTCCTATCTAATCATAATTAATTCGATACAGTCAACAAAAATTATAGAATCAATTCCGTAATAAAATACTACATTTTTAAATAAAATCCAAAATTAACTCAAAAATTGCATGTGGGGCCCACATCTCGAAATCCGATGAAAGTTACGAAATATGAACGTTCGTTCAACTACGAGTCTAACCATACCAAAATGACTAAATTCCAATAATAATTCGACCCTCAAATCCTCAATTCTATCCAAGAGGGTTTTCAATTTATTTTCAACTTAAATAACCAATTAAATGTTAAAGACAGTGATAGATTCAGACAA